CAAGGGCCGTGCTCACGCCCTCAAGACCGTGGTGGGTACGGAACCGGCGACGCCTATCGTGCCGCGGAATGAGGCTCATGGTAACTCTGGGCCATCTTCTGAAGTCCCCACCCCCGTGATCGAGCTAGATTTATCTGGGGATCGATATGGGGAGAAGCGCCCAAGGTAGGAGTCCGAGGCGCTTGACATATCTCCCCTGAACGAGGTGAGGGGAGAATCTCCTTTGAGGAGTGGATGTGCAAGCACTCTTCTTTCCAGATCGGCCAGCATATACGTTCCGGGCAGGACTATGCCTTTAACCTCGAACGGTCCTTCCCAACTTGGGTCAAACTGAGGTGGCTTATGCCCAACTTTCTGCAAAAGTCCTTGAACTTTGCATTGTCGAACTGCTTTCCGTTGTCTGTCACGATGGTGTTCGGTATACCGAAACGGCATATGATGTTTGACCATATGAAAGATGTGACTCTGGACTTCGTGATGTGGGACAACGCCTCGGCCTCGGCCCACTTAGTGAAGTAGTCTACAGCGACAACGACGAACTTGGTTTGCCCTTTGCCTAGGGGAAAAGGACCTATGATGTCTACCCCCCATTGCGCAAATGGCCATGGGGCCGAGATGGGGGTCAGTAGCTCGGGAGGCTGATGGATAATGCTTGCGAAGCGCTGGCAGTTGTCACAGGTCTTCACAAATTGTTTTGCATCGTGCTCAACAGTGGGCCAATAGTACCCTTGTCGAACCACCTTGGCCGACAACGACCTGGCGCCAGAGTGATTTCCACACACCCCTTCATGGATTTCCCTAAGAATGTAGAGGCCTTCTTCGGGAGTCACACACTTAAGCAGAGGCAGGGAGAAACCACGTCGGTACAACACTCCGTCTCGGAGTATGAACCGAGCTGCTCTCCGCGCCATCCTCTTTTGCTCCTTTGAATCTTGCGGCGGATTCCCTTTGATAAATTCCAGGATTGGGTCCATCCAAGAGGGTGACGGAGTATCAATCTCCATCACATCTGGCTTCAAAATTGAAGGACTGTCCAAGATCTCGACCGGGACCGATCTAGCCAGGTCGGTCTCATATGCTGATGCCAGTTTGGCTAAGGCATCAGCATTGGAGTTTTCAGATCTTGGGACTTGATTCACCTCGTAAGTTGTTAGGGTTGACTTTTTACTGCAGAAACATGTGTCGGTAGCCCTGTTTGACCACGTTTTGACCCATTTCCCATTATTATTTGCCAAAAAGAACCACATATTCTTAAAGTAGAACATACATAGATTATTTATGAATAAAAGTCAAACTATGGTACTTTAGGAAAAATATGAGATAAATGCGGTCAAAGTTGGAAGAAAATAACAGAATTCTGTCTTTTGCAGAATTGCGCTTGGTGCATTTTTGGAGGGCAATTTGTCAAAACGCACATTTTGATTAATGAAAGGCAATGAGGACATTTCCCACATGTTCAAAACCGTGAGTCCAAGTCCAAGTGAGGTGGTTAAGTGAATCTCAACCCTTTTCCACCTAAAATGGAGGGGAGTTTCAACCAACCTATGGTACTATAAAAGAAATCCATCCATCCCTCAGCAAATCATCCCTTCTAAGCTTCATTTCATCTTCTTCTAGATGCTCTCTAGTTTTAGAACACGTTTTTAGGGTGTATGTTTATATTCTAGTTGTTCATTTCTTCGTTTTTCACGCTTTTACCTTTCGTATTGCCTTTAATTCAGTTTCTTACTTCCGTTCTTTGTTCATTCTATTCTTTTAAAGTTCTTTAGCGAGTTTCAACTCCCCTCACGCTTGAGAGAGAAGAGGGTCAAGCTAGAACTCTTTGTACGACTTATTTTATTCATTTAAATTCAATGAAAAATACTTTCTTTATGTTTTCGTGCATTTACTTTCATTTAATTATGTTCTAAACTAGTTATCAACCTCCTTGTAGAATGCCTTAGTCAACTGATTTAATTTTCAACACGCTCGGGATTTTGGCCAGATTGTGCCTGACACTTTTTTGGGTTGGTTTCTAAAAACTTCTCTTTACGTCTTTTTTTCATTTGGCCAGTGGGAACTTGATTTATACACCAAAGCCCAACCTTGGGAAAGGTGAGTTAGGTAAAATAATAGGAAACCAATATGGGATGTGACTTAGGAATAAGCGCATAAAATATGGTCCTAGGCATAGGCCCTCTGACCCATAATGCAAATGAGTTGGTAGATATTCTCTAAGATTGTAATCACACATAGGAATATGATTGTAGGTTACCCTAGCCTCTGCAGCAACCAAAAGCGGTAGTGAAAGAGTAGAACTCAAATCCCAAGAAAAGTCAGGAATTGCGCCTGGTGCATTTTCCCAACATAGTGTGTTTTCCATGTTTTGCATCAAAAATAAGGTAGGAAACAAGGAGGTTGAGTTTCATTAAATTGCTTGATAGTTAAAATCCCAAACAACAACGTTTCACCATTATTTTCTTCCTAAATCACAATTGCATATTTGAACCATTTCACTGCATTACTTGATTTTGAAAAGCAACAAGTCCCTGGGGATTCGACCTTGGATTACTTCCGAGTATTACTTGTGACTGTGTGCGCTTGCACGAGTCTCTAATCTTTTTAAAGGTAGAGAAAATCCTAACATAAGTCTCGAACTGGGCGAGGTGCGATTTGACCTTGCTTAGGTACTTTTCCATTCGGGGGTCCTTCGTTTGGTATTCCTCCTTAATCTGATTTACAATTAACTGAGAGTCACTAAAGACCTTGATGTGGGTGGCTCCCAGTCCTTTGGCAACGCGCAGGCCTGCTAGAAGTGTTTCATACTCGGCTTTATTATTTGAAGTCCGAAAGTTGAACCGCAGAGCATACTCGAATCGCTCACCACCTGGTGCGAGCAAGAGGATTCCTGCCCCGCACTCTCTCTCATTGGAAGATCCATCAACGTAGATCATCCACGAGAGGTTGGACTCGGTCGACTGGGACGGTGGGGTAAGCTCTGCGATGAAGTCCGCCACTGCTTGCCCTTTTAACGCGGTTCTAGGCCCGAACTGGATGTCGTACCCGCTCAATTCTAATGCCCACTTCATCAGACACCCTGATGTTTCAGGCTTAAGGAAGATATTCCTCAGGGGTAAGTTTGTAAGTACTGTAACAGTGTGCGCTTGGAAGTACGGCCTAAGTCTTCGGGCCGAGGTGACTAAAGCGAAGGCCAGCTTCTCCATTTGGGGATATCTGGTCTCGGCCTCAGTCATGGCCTTACTGGTGTAATAAATAGAACTTTGGCGCGCACCCTCCTGCTTGATTAGGGCCGAGCTGATGGCGCTATCAGACACTGCCAGGTACAAGTGGAGCTTCTCTCCTGGCAATGGTTTTGCGAGTAGAGGTGCTGAGCAGAGATAGTTTTTCAACTGCTCTAGTGCTTGCTCACACTCTACCGTCCATTCGAACGACCCCTTCTTCCTAAGAACCTTGAAGAAAGGGAGGCACTTGTCAATTGATCTTGACACGAACCTATTCAAGGCTGCAATCCTGCCATTGAGGCACTGGAGCTGCTTTAGAGTCTTGGGTGCCTCCATCTCGAACACGACCTTTATCTTCTTTGGGTTAGCTTCGATCCCCCGGTTGTGTACCATAAAACCAAGGAATTTTCCCGAGGAGACTCTAAAGGCACACTTGGTCGGATTGAGCTACATTTGGTACTTGCGCAGTACTCCAAAAGCTTCGGTCAGATCGGAAAGATGCGACTTTGACTGCTTGCTCTTGACAAGCATGTCGTCCACATACACTTCCATATTCCGACCGATCTGCTTGGTGAACATTTTGTTCACCATCCTTTGGTAGGTCGCACTCGCATTCTTTAGGCCAAAAGGCATCACCTTGTACCAGTACAGACCTTGGTCTGTTATGAACGCGGTATGATCTTGGTCTGGCAAGTGCATTTTAATTTGGTTGTATCCGGAGTAGGCATCCATGAAGGTGAGTAACTCGTGCCCGGCCGTTGTCCACGAGCTGGTCGATCCTCGGAAGGGGGAAGCAATCTTTTGGGCATGCCTTATTTAAATTTGTGAAGTCCACGCACATCCCCCACTTCCCGTTAGATTTTTTAACTAATACTACATTAGAGAGCCACTCTGGATACAGAATTTCTCGTATATATTCAACTTTTAAAAGTTTGTTAACTTCCTTAACAATTACATCACTCCTCTCCTTATTTACATGTCTTCTTTTTTGCTTTACAGGTCGGAATGATCGGTCTATGTTGAGGCGATGCACCATGATCTTTGGGTCGATACCAGGCATGTCTTCGTGAGACCATGCGAAGATGTCCGAGTTGGACCTGAGGAAGTTGATCAACTCCTCCCTGTCAGTGGCCCCAGCTTGGTTCCTATGCTTACTTATTTTTCAGGACTAAGTAAAGGAACAAGCTCGAGCTCCTCTGTTGGCGGGGAGAACTGCCTCTTGCCTTCCTTAGGCAGGTTGGCCTCGGACTCTTGCAGCTTGTCGCGATTGGTTTGTCCTTCCAGGGCGCATACTGACGACCCTTTAAGCGCGGATGCATAACATTCTCGTGAGGTCTTTCGCTCACCTCGGACCGTGCCCACACCATTCGGGGTTGAATACTTCAAGACTTGATGCAGTGTGGAGAGGACGACCCGGAATGAGTGAATGATGGGTCTTCCGAAGATGGCATTGTAGGCCGATCTGCCGTCAATAACCACGAACTCGGCCATCTGAGTTACCTGTGTACTATCTTGCCCAATTGTAACCGGCAAGTCGATACACCCTTTGTAACGCCCCAGAACTTTCCACACACTTCTAGGTCACATTAACTACCCAACTGTTTAAACTTAACCCCAAACACGAGATGTCAACTCCCTGTGCAACAATTATTTATAAAATCAAGCGTCACCTCTCATCATTTTGACAATGAATCAATTCTATAGAATATCAATCAACAATATCTGTGGACAACCTCACGAGGCAAATTTATTATTCCAACTAGGCATAACTCAATGAATGGAAGAAAACTAAAATAAACACCTATCCCGAAATAAAATAAACAACAAGTGGGCACCTCCCAATTATTCAAATAAGAATAAATAGTTTATCGACCAAAACATAGGGTCATAACCATCCAAAAACTTAAGCTAAGCAAAAGTAACTACGCAGCCTATGGTTCTCGCTCGTCATGTCTCCTCCGTCTCATCACCATGGTCGCCAACAAATCCTTCACCTGAAACAATAATTGCAGAGGGGGGGGGGTGAGTATATAAATATACTCCGTAAGTAGCCTTCACCAACACACGCACACATCATGCTCCACAAAATCATGAAAACATTCATAGTCATGCTCTCCATCACATTATGTAGTCAAACATAGGCACACTCCATAACATTCGGCGACAACCACAACCATGAACAAATTAACTACCAACCTCGAGTCTCCCTAACATCTCAAGTACCTCTACGCTTATCACAGCTATCCTAGCCCTC